AATATTACAGATTGAGTAATGTGAAATGTAAAAGTATGCAGTTAAAGTAAAAAATGCAAAGATACATATATAGTAATTACATGTAACCTGATTTAATAGCATTCGTATGTGAAATAAAAAAGAATCTCATCACTGAAGCAAAACACTTGACTTCTGCAAATTAAAGGTGGATGCATGTGCTAGGCTTATGTTTTCAGAGGGTTCAGTCTATGGTTGGCTGGCTCCAGTGGAGAAATGGCACAGCAGAAGGACATAGCACAGGGAGGCTGCTGTACTCATGACAGCAGAGAGGCAGGGAGGAGGACACTAGGACAGGAGTATTCCTTTTTATGCCACACTTCTAGTGACCCACTCTCTCTGACAAGATCCTATCTCCCAACAGCACATCCACCTATGGACTCATAAAAGGATCAAAGTGCTGATGAATGTAATGGCTCCAGGATCCAATCACTTTCCAGAAACCCTACCTCTGAACACACGAAAGTTTTGGTGGGCATGTTACATTTAAACTGCAACATGATATAGGACCTGATATAATAACATTACATATGCAAAATTAAAATCTTAAAGGTCTTAATTTTTTATATTATATACCCACTGTGTGTCAATATCTACAAAGGTAATACTAATATTTTAATCCATATTAATAGGACTTGACCATATAGATTAAAAAGAAAACATACCTGAGCTCTTCATTACAGAGAACGTGCACAAGCCTTTTTATCTCATTGTAGAGACCACTGAAAGCCCTGTGAGCAGAAGCCAAATGGAGGATGACAGAATATTCAGAAATGAGAGAAAATTAGGGACATGAGGAGAGTAGAGAGTGGAAATCTACTAAAAAAAAGACATGAAAACATGCCAAAATATTCATATGCTTCTCAGATAAAGTTATGCTTACTAAGTACTAATGTTTTAAAAACCTAAATGCCAAAATAGAAATCATATGAAGATAGTATTCTGTAGATCTACATAAGAACTTTAATACAATTCAACAATGCAGTCATAGAAAGACTGCCCAGAGGGTACCAGTCTTCCTATTTCTGGATGAGTGATATTTCAGGTAAGGTAATGGTTTTCTGTTCTTCTACTTATTTCCTTAATGGCAGAGGAAGCTGTAATTGATTTCCATGGCAACTTCAGTGGTTTCCTTTGTCTCAGTTTCTTCTAAACTCCAGGATAGCCTTAAATAACTCAGCATGACAGTCATGGAGAAATCAAAACCTAACAAATGATGGTGTGTTTGTGATGAAAAAGGAATCCCTCCTTTTGTTGGTGGTGTTGTAAACTAGTACAACCATCATGGAAGTCAGCATGGATATTTCTCAAATACATGGAATTAGAAATTCCCTATGACCCTCTATGCTTCTGCTAGATATCTTCCCCAGAGAGTTTTAGACATCACACTACAGTGATGCATGTGTACCAATGGTTATAGCAGCACAATTCATAGCAGTTAAATCCTAAGAGCAGACTGTGTACCCATCAACAGATGACTGTATAAAGAAAATGTGGTATGTATATATAATGGAATACTACTCTGCTATTAAGAATGACACATTTGAGACATTTGTAGAAAAATGAATGCACCTGGAAAATATAACGCTGAGTGAAATAAGTCAGACATGCAAGCTTAAATATCATATGGAACCTCTCATCTGAACGGCAAAAAGTATAAAAAAAGAGAGTAATAAGGGTTGGCTAGAAGGGGACAATGGATCTCTTACAATAAGAAAGTGAAGCAAGGGAACCAGGGCAAGGGGTGAGGAGGGGGAGAAGGGGAAATGAGTAAAGTAAAGATATGCCGTGTACAGGAAGCCAACAACCTCAAATGTAAACACTGTGTGCCACAGCAGGAGCTAAGATTAATAATATCAAGAAGGAGAAATGGGATACAAGAATTGGAAGAGGAGGGAGGGAGGGGGATGGAAGACAGAGAGATTTAAAAAGAAAGAAGCTGTGCTGTGTACAGGTCACCACTCCCCAAGATGATTGTGGGCGGCATGAACTGCAAACACACACTCATAAAATTAAAAAATGAAAAAAATAAATAATTAGACCAGAATACTTAAAATGAGCTCTGTCTCTGTTCCTCTCCTACTCTGCATATTTAATGTTTTAGCAAACCACTAAGCTCCCCTTGTAGTGAACCCAGACTGCGACCCTTTACCAACCTTCTGACCCCCCAATGTTTCTGTGCTTCTATGTCCCCTCCAGAATGATCACCACCAAATCAAGCAGACCAATTAAGAAAAACTCTAATAGTTCCCCCTTTCCTTCAAATTAAAATCCAAAGGTATGTGCATAGGAAACAACTTTACACCTTCCTTACCTTGGCCCATGTGTCCCTTTTTAGTGAGATCGGTCTTAACCACCTCATTTGGTACTCCAACCCTACCTTCTACTCTCTTAACTGGAACTCCCAGTTCACCTTACCATCTTGCACATTTTCACACGTGCATAGCATTTAGCACCTTCTCCTATACTGCACAAGTCACTCATTCTTTCTGAGATTTTTTCTCTCCTGGCTGAAATGTAAGCAGAGATAATTTTTTAAATTAATGAACTAACATCATAAATGCCCCCAAATGGTTTCTGTCACTTAAAATGTGCCTTGTGAATATCTGTGAAATGAATTGTTATTTCTTCTTATTTTGGAAAAACATCTTTGTCCTTTAAATTTAACATTTTTGAACTGCTTCTTGTTTCCCTTACATATTTTAATTGATCTATTCTTCATATAAAAGGAAGTGTTCAGACCTTAGGTATATGTTTCAAAGGTTTTCAAACAAAGCACTACATCCATGAGACCCATCAGTCTGTCAGGTTATGGAAGAGAGCAAATATTGATTTTCTCTCAGTCATTATTGAATAGTTTGCAAATCTCACATCTTCAACATTAAAATCATACAAAAAGCACTTTTCCATCTTCTTTCCCTCAACTTCATGTCTTGGTGTCTCACGCACATAGCTACATGCATCTGTAGTACATCCTTGGTGTCATTTGTACTTCTGTCATTTTTATTCTTCAGTTAGAGTATACACACTATATACACTGCAGTTTGTCAGTTAAGGTTACTGCCTGTAGGTTTTTCAAAAGGATTCATTTACTCTTTTAATGCTGGCTTCATAGATATGTGCTGTTCAGTGTTGTTGATCTAAGCAGCATGCAGATTGGTGGCTGCACAAACACTGACAGAGATGAATATCACAGAGTGTGTGGACGATTTGCTGCTGTGGCACTGACTATGCCTCTTTTTGCGTGTGTTCTGTTTTCCAAAGGAGGATGGATGTAAATGTGAGTGGATTTATCGAGCCTGTCTTGGGAATTTATGTTCTCTGATTGTCTTACCAGCTCCTGGTGCTATTTGTTCTCAGAGAATCACCTCTCCCATGTGAAATCTTCTTGGTATTATCCATTTTGTTTAACAAATATTATTATTGACACTCATATTTCCAGTAGCTCTGGCAGTTTTATCCAACATGGGTTTTACCCTAAATGGGTTCAGTAACCTGACTTAAAGTGATCCTAATAGTTTCCAATGCAATTTTTGTCATTTGTGCTGACCTGAGTTGGAGCTGAACCATTTTTATCAAAAGCTGAGCTCATTTCTAGCTTCAGTTATCACACACTTCGTTGCAATCAGGTACCAGTGGCATAGACTTAAAGGGTATAGCTTTTAAATGCTACATTATTATTTAGTGGTGATAATATTATCCTTATTATATTCAGAGTTCATGAAAAAAAATGTATACACACTTCAGGAAAAATAAATATAAGAAATGTCTGGAAGCTAATGGCCACTGTTTTGAGTGCCTTTTGTAACTGTACAGGCCAAATGTGACTTGTATTTATCTCATGATGTCTCAAGAAATTTAGTATTAAAGTATTTGTTCAAGTTTTTCTTTTCCTGAAGTGCATGTATTTTATTTTGTGGAGGACTACGTGTATATTTCCACATATACATTGCCATATATATATTTTCATCTTTAATTAAAAGAAAACTCTTTCTCATTTTAGCCACTTTAAGAAAATCTTATTTTTCAGTTGACTACCACATCATGAGGAGCAAATGTAAAGTTATAATAAACAACTATACTATTTAAATAAAAATAAGCTATCATTATAGTAAAAATTAAACATGATTGTGGGAATTGATTTTTGGACAGCAACATCAGTAAAAGCTATTTCCCAAAATTTAAAAAAAAATGACTCACAGAGATAAGAAATTTCAAATCAATTTATATTTTCTCTAAATCAAGTTTCAAGAAAGTACACTTTAGGCTGTGTCTTTCTTGAAAAGTTGATGACACAAACATCAAATATATTGCAGTCTAATTTTTTGAGTGGTGAATTTAAAAATTTAAAAAGTGACTAGAAAAGAATTTCAACTGGGGAAAATATTGTTATTTTCGAGCAGAACTGGAAAAATTATAATTTCAGCTATGGCCAGAACAGAGCAAACTGTGGCTCACAAGATGCTACACTATTCAGAACAAATTTTTCAAATGATCACAGAAGAGTGTCTGAAAACCAAGTCACACATGTCTGTTTCCAGAAGCCCGGCTTACAAACAAGTGCTACAGGGGAGGACCGGGGTTGGTCATAAGCCAGTTGTGGTGTCGGGAGTGAGAAATCTGGAGAATCTGACTTACGCAAGACACAAAACCGGAAGAACCGGAGAAGATGGGAGTTTAGAGAATTAAAACCAGAACAATTAGGAGACAGTGAGAAGGTGCTGAGTGGGAAACAGGTCAGGGACTGTCTCTAAGTTCTGAGGCTCCTTGGGGCACATGGCTCTTTGGGTCAGGGTTCTTGGTCTGTAATTCACACCACACAAGGCACATGACATTCTTGAATCTCTCACACAGTTACTAGAATTTTTAATGGGTGTATATTTACAGTAAGTAGAAAATGGGTGCAGAATGTACTTTGTGAAGCTATTTTCAGATGCATTTTATAGAACTTAAGATTTCATAATAGGTATGGTCATCTTTATTAGGACATTGATTCTTGCATACTCTCATTAACCTGGGTGATGATGTTCGTGTTCAACGAATTTAGAAAGAAGTTACTGTTGTCAGTTGATCAAGTGCATGTCCATTGTGAGCTGGTGACTTTTTCCTTTACTTAATGCACAATGCAGTATTCAACCTTGAAGCAGAGAGATCTGCCTTTTCCAAGGTAGATTTTTCAAACTTCAATATTCAGGTTAGCGTGTGGTGTTGGACACACGTGGGCAGGTCACGTGGCTGTTTTACATACTCTGCAGAAAGAAGAAATTGGAAAATAGTCTAGAGGGTAACTGTTCTCACTTGGTCTCAAGATTAACAGTATGTTTCAGAAATTGTGCTTTTATTAATGGGAAAAATAAATAAATGAAAGAAGTTATTCTTTGACAGAAATAAAAAAAATGAGCGAGATCTTAGTGAACATAAATTTTGATCTTTTTCTTATTCCACAAAGCAAAGGAAAAAAGAGGCAAGGAATTTTACAGTGAAAATAGTTGCACGACAATAATTCATTTTTCTCTTAACTGGAAATCTGTTTTGAAAAGTGATAGGGAGTATGTCTTTTTAGTTACTTCGTATGTATTTGTGTGCCACAAAGGAGAGAGATTCTCTACTTTAATTCAATAAAGAGTGTTAATATCAGTTATATTTCCATTTATAAAAAAGCAAGGAAACCTCAGTTCTGAAAAAGACACCAGGCTTATTTGGTACACTTGAATTTATTCTCTCATTCAAGCTCTATCTCTCTTAAATGTTGAGTTTACATTCTGTTCTGTGTCTGTTCTCGTGACATTGATTGGGTGTGTCATTGTTAGGAAGGATAGACTCCACAGTGCAACTTTGTATCAGATTTCATTAAATGGGAAATAGTCATTAAGAAAAAATTGTGAACAATATAGGACAAATGATGTAAATTGACTTTTCTGCAACCCACAGAACTTCCCTTCCGATAACTCAGTCTTTCTGATGAATCACAAAGCCTTGCTTTGTAAAGTGCCACTGTTTCCAGTGCACTCGCTTCAGAATTGCTTTGCTCCCAGGTATCCATGGCAATGAATAACAATGCACGTGTGTATGAAGAAGTAAGTGGTGTGCACAAAATGGTCTCTTAAATCACTGCCTAGGGTTATTGGTAAAATATTGACTTTCTTGCAACGACAAATTCACTTTTTGATTTCTCAGCCAACACCTGAATCCCAGTGTGATGCAAATGGAGAAGTTGTAGTTGGTGACTGGTACTCTGCTTCTCTCTGCCGGGCTCACTGTGCTTCTCTCTGCCAGGCTCTGGCCGGGCACCCACAGTGGCACCCAGCCATTGATTTGCAGACAGCGCTAAATTCTCCTCTGCACCACCGGCTCTGTGGCAGGCGTATTTGACCGTGGCATGGGATAGCATTTCGCAAATAATTTCCTGCTGAACTGTTTACTCAAGTGCTTGACTCTTTGTTTGCCAAAGGCTCTGCAAACTGAGGCTGATAAATCTACCCAACCTCATTCTGCACTTTCCATTCTCCGTTATAATATCTTCAGGCTAGTATCAGACAACTGCTTTCCCTTCTCTGGGGAGCATCATAAGTTTCACATTGTATTTACTTATTTTCAATGAAAAATGGAAAGATGGGATACACTTTTTAAACTACTATCTTTCACATTATTTAAAACTGAGTTCATTTTGATTCCATCTAAATCTTAACAATAAATCGTAAGACATTGATTACCAATAATATAATTATTATATTTAAACATTAAATGTAACATTGTTAGAATGTATTCATGATAAAAATATCACATGGGAATATGAATACAACTACACATAAAAAGTTATGAAATTTTAAATATGGAAGAAGATGAGAATAATACATGTAAAATGAAAGAAATACCCAAGTACTGGAGATTTTCTTTCTCTAGGATAAACAGGAATAAATCTATTCATTATCTTTAATTATTCTTTTGCAAGGGGTATACAAGTCCAGACTTTCTTAATTTTGTTGTTTGTGTTTTCTCTCAGTTTTTAAAATCTCTTAATTGGCCATACCTACTCTAATAATTTGGGAATTGTCATTATAAGCTCAGAGGAACACATTTTTGACATTTAATTTATTTATGTATTCTAAAATTTTCAACAATAATATTGTATAAGACAATTTTAAAAGTTCCTCTATAGTCTATTAAGGGAAGCATGTCCTCCTAGGTTTGGCCAGGTTATTTCCTCTTTTAAAATCTCAGAGAGAGGGGCTGGGGATTTAGCTCAGCGGCAAAACGCCTGCCTGGCAAGCGCAAGGTCGTGAGTTCGGTTCCTGGAACCAGAGAAAAACCAAAAAAAAAAAAAAAAAAAAAAAAAAAACAAAAACAAAAAAATAAAATAAAATCTCAGAAAGAAATAGGGTTTCATGGTAAATTTATCGAAAGTTATTGTAACAAATTTACACCAAACTAACTGAAGACAAATCCTATATAAGGATACATTCCAGGATTGTGACAAGGCTGAAATTCCCTGAAAAGAATATTCAAACTGTGACAGTAGAGATTTAGACATAGGTTTCATGAAGAGATGGGCACTGTAGGAGCTTTAGACATAAACAAATAATAGCATGTAGGTTAATGACTAAAATAATGACCATTAAGTTGGCCCTTGGTGTTATCAATCACTCTTGTAAATGCAGTGGCACACTGTTCTGATTACACAAAAGAGCAGTGCTTTGTTTCACCCTGTACATTAATGCTGCAGCACGTTAGGTATGCAATTTGCAAGGTCAATGCCTGTCGCAAGTCCATAACAGCTTCCATCATGTATTTAGACTCTAAAATGAGAGAAATATTTTCATTCACCACACATAGGGGAACACTTCTGATAAATGACTTAATGCATTAAAGTTCTCAAGAGCATATCTGGCCCATAACGAACCTATATAATAGCTGGCTACTATAACAGTGTTAATTTAAAAAGAATAATTTGGCCTGCAATTATGAAGTGCAAGATTTGTAAGGATCACTTTAGCTATCAATGCTTTTATTACTATTGCACATTGTATAATATTGTACATTTTATCAGCTGCTTGGAGAGGGGTATTAGTAACTCCCTCTTTATGGGAGGACTCACTCTTCAATTTTGCGTTGAACATTTTGAGGTTTTGTTGGTAGGCCAATCTATGTTATTGTTATGTTATTTTCCTCTTGAATTTCTTCTTTTCTGATTAAGACCTGGATATCTTTATCTTTGGAATACTCTTGGTCTTAATGGCCATTATGTGGTATTATGGCCACATTAGGTTTAACATATTTGCTGTTTAGTAGATCTTTGTTTCCTGTATTTATTTTCAACCAGTTGCTGGAGTTGCATTTAAAATGCATCCTTTTTATTTTGAAAAGAATTTTTAAGAAAACAATAAAAATGACACAGAATTTCAAAACAAAATGATAGGAAAATAACAATGGTTATTATATTGCACACTGTTATCTTAAAAGCAGTTTCTCAGATTACCAGATAGAGGCATAACTCTGTAAGCTCTAGCTGTTCCTTCCGTGCACGCTATGGTAGCATAGAGTTGTCTCATGTATTAACCTACGTTTAATACTTGAAGTTTTTTAATGGAAATGTTTAGTCCATGAAGATTTAATGTAGTAGTTTCTATCATACCATTTAAGTCTCTTAATTTTTATTTTATGAAGAAAAAAAATTTCATAATTGAATAATAATAGAACAACAATAGTTATTACACATTCATCATTATCTTCAGAGTAGTTACTCAGAGTATATGACATAAATAAAAAAGAGTTTTACAGAAACAGACAATAACACTTTCTGTGTGTTCTTTTTGTCTTTTATTAATCTGTCATTTCTTTATTATCTTTTATTTAAGTATTTGAGTAATTTTTAGAAATTTTTAAAAATTTTTCATTGACTTTATCTCTTTGCTTTACTTTTTTAGTAATAGCGCTAAGGAGTATAATTTGCATCCTCACTATTTTTATCATCTTTTACTACTGTCCCACTTTTTGTGATATTTAGAACAATCACAATTGTGAGAGTTATTGACTACTCCAGTATGTCAGAGTGTAAGCCATAGTTTGTGTATTAAACCAGAATACATGGAAAATGCTATTCTTGCTGTAATGATTAGTGATTATTTAAAACAGAAAGGATTTTTACTTCCTCATATGTTTATCATTTCTAGTGCATTTTAGTTCTTTCTGAAGAGACAATGTCTTCTGTCATACTGTTTTCCCACCCTTAACTACCACATTCAGCATTATGTGTAGACATAATCAGGCAAATTATCTCACTTTTCCTTTTTCTGTAATTGTTGATATTTTACTTTCATTCTCAAGAGTACCTGTACTGGTCAGAATTCTGAGTGTCAGTTTATGTAATTCATCATTTACAAGAAGACTTTATTTACATAAGAAGAAAATATTCAGTTAATAAAGAAAACAAAACCTCACAAATTAGATTTTCTTAGTAATGAAGCTTGAAACAAAAAATTAGAAAATTTAATAAGGGAGGAATCCCTAACTTCCCAATCATTCTAGGTTTCAACATCCATCTCTAAACAACTGATAAAACATCTAACAAATCAATAAAACCATATATTTCATATTCATAGAACACTTTATTCAACAACTGCAGAATTATCATTTTAAAACAATGTACACTGTTAACATCATTCAGATAGTTTATATATTGGGCCATTGTACAAGTCTCATTTTTGTGGTCCTGGGGATTGAACCTGAGGCCATCCCACAGAGCTATATCCCTAGCCCTTTTCTATACCCTCTCCCTTTATTTTTGCTAAGTTACTAAGGTGCTCACACTTGGGACCCTTTGCCTCAGGCTCCCAGAGTGCTTGGATTTCAGATACATCCATCACACCAGGTCTGGCCTGGATCACTTCTGATTAGAATTCCATGGCATTCCAATTATTGTTCCCTGTTGATAATTTATTGATTACTTTTGAGATATTCTCTTTATTGTCGATTTCCATAAGTTTGACTAAGATATACCCAAGTATGATTTCCTTTTACAGTTATGTTTGGTCTTCAGAGAATTTCTTGAATCCATAAATTTTTGTCCAACAGCCAAAGTTGATAGTTTTCAATAGCATACTGTTTCCTATTTTGCTGACCTATTTTCTCTCTCCTCTGCTCTCAAATTGAAATTATTTACCGTGCTGATCCACTGGCATTACTAATAATATCTCTGAGGTATGCATTAGATTTTATTCAACATTTTTTTCTTCTTTGATTTAGATAATGTGTATTGACATAGTTTAAATTTCACAGACTCCTCTGTCATCTCCATCCTTTTATGAATCAATTCAGTGAATTTTCTATCTTTTGGTTTTCCTATGTATTTCAGGTGATAACAATGTCTCCATCATGTACCACAAAGGCGTCTCTCATGACCTGGGATGATCCAATCAGTGTAGCAGCCCCTGATACTCACCCTTTCCTAAGGACTGTGTCAGCAAAGGACAGTAGTGTGCATCTAGTGGCTGATACTTCCAAGCCTCCCTTCCTGGAATTTCCTCTGGGCTGTCTGGGACAGGGACATTTCAACTCTGGTCTCAGATGTGTGATTCTTTCCTTCTCAACCTCACAAGTAGTGTTCCTTTGAGAAAGCATAGTTGTTAGGACCATTTGTGCCAGTTTTTTGTCCATTTTGAGTGTAAGCAAATGTTCTTATGACTTCTGTGAATCTAGTTATTTTGTTACCTGAGTTCTATTTCTGTGGTCACTCCTGTCACTCTGTCCCTTGCTCACTGTGTTCTATTTCCCTGACCTCCTCAGTTTCTTCAGTTTCCACAGGCAGGCTCATCCTCAGGTGTTTTCTTGGCTTCCCTCTGTGGCTGGCCCCTCACAAGGTGCTCCTAGGGTACCTTTCTTGACCACATTCCAACATCAACTTCAACAGTTCTAACTAGAAAATTGTCCTTGACAACTTTCCCTGTTAACTCTATCAATGAATCAGTGATACTGCAATGGCAAACAGAAACACCTAAGCAATGCCCAAGATTTCGAGGCAGATTTATTTACATGGATGGGCATTGATTGAAATAATTCCCAGAGTATCAGTCCCTGATCTCTGGTGGTGTAGGGCTTATAATGGATAAGCAAACAGGAAGTACAGGGGCAGAATGGCTTGTCAATTGGGGATTGGTTTATACAATGTGCATCATAATGACCAGCTATGCACCACAGTGACCAGCTGTTTCTAGGAGACCAGAAGCAATGGGAACCGGAACTCTAACTATTACGTGGGCAACTAACAAAGTGATGTATACTGGCTGGTGGGAACATTTTCTGCTATATTTCCCCTCACTTTCAGTTTTCCTGAAAAATCTTTGCTGGGCATATTACATGTGATATTCTGAGACAAGGCCCAACTAGAATTTAGGCCTGTCTGTTCTGTAACATTACTCTGGCAAGGTAGTGGGGAGTTTATCTGATGTGGGAGAGTGTTTATATGTCTTGAGCACTCATCAAGTCTTCGTCAAGTGTTTCATTGACTGTCCTATTCTCTTGGGGCAACCATGCATAGAGTTTTTTTTTTTTTTAATGAAACATTTAAATGTTTGCATTTATTTCTGAGCAGCAGTCACTTGAAAAACCATTCATAGAGCTTAAAGCAAAAAGAAAAATCACAGCTAGCAGGAGGTGGGGAAGCAAGGACTGTAGTAACAAGCTCAGCCTAGACCAAGACCTAACTGCCAGGTGCCACATGCTGTACTGAGAAGAACTGTTCTAAAAAGAATGGACCCCTTGACAGATGCTGAGCACACACTATTTATGGATGGACATAGCTCTGTTAAGAATAAAGCCTAACAGGCTAGATATGCTATGGTCACCTTGGACAAAACTATTTTGACCAAAACTATCCTAAGGGATGATCTGCACAACAAACTGTTATTTAGACACCTACCACCAAATATGCAAAATAATTCAATCCAGTGGCCTAAGCCCCCTCTGGGGTTCTGATTGGTTAAAATATCAACCTCAGCCACCAGACCTGTCCCCACCACATGTTCTACAAGCTCAAGCCACTGTGCTGGAACGCATACCCTTGCAGGTGGCTCAGACTGCAACATCTGTGTCACCACCCCTGAACTCCTATTTTCTATTTGTACTGAAAAGACAATAAAATGTTGTAGGTTTCTACTGCAAAAAAAAAAAACAAACAAAAAAAAAAAACAAAACGTATCCCTAGATATGAACTATCCTTGATTATTGGCAGTGACAATGGGCCTACATTTGTAGTAGAGGTAACTCAAAACTAGATTTGAGTTACAAAGCTACAAAGCTCTTAATAAGTTACAAGTAGCTTGTAACCAGTTACAAGACCAGGTGTGTCTTTAGATATTCCTGCACACATGTATAACACCGGTATATATTAACTACCCCAACAAGTTTCAAAAATCCAACCTTAGATATGCTAAAAAATTTTACCTGGACAGCTCCTTCAAAGCTCATCCTGAAGAGCTAACAAATACTGACCAGTCCACACATGACTGAAGCCTGAGGACATCATTCACAGGATTGCTCCATACCTATTTCCCTTGATTTTTGTGTCTTTTTAGGCTGCTTCACCCAGTCTGTTCTTCCCTGGCCCCCTGCTAGCTGTGGTTTTCATTAATTGAGCTTGTCAGATTTCTTGATCAAAAGGATAGTGGCTGTTGGAGTGCAGAGGCAAAGAGAGGAGGCAGCCCTGAGAGGCCATAGGGCATGCCCAGGGACTGACATTCTGAGTAAACATATGGAAGCCAGCAGCTCCAAGAAATTTATGGTTTTATCAGCTTAGAGGTCTTGAACTGGCTTTACAGGAAGGAGAGGTGTACTATGTGATGTGGGTAGGGGTTGCTTTCAGACAGAGGTCAATCACCAAAGAGGCATGATTGATAGCAAGCCCTGGGGGTGAGTCCTTTGTCCACACTTCTGGATAACAGCCTCAAATTTTCAGGGTTATGATTATCAGGCATTTCAGGCTGATGTAGGTGCCATTCTTCCTCCAAGGGTAGAGTCAGAGTCAAAATCAAGTCCAAGGCAGTGGACCCGAGTGTGAGGGAGGCTGGTCACATCCCAGGAGAATTACAGTGCACTCAGGCATGTACACGAATTTATGTTTGATAAAGTGTCCATCAACCTCACAGGATCTGCTTTGGCAGAATTTCTTTTTGGGGGGTTCCAGTAGGTAACTTCAGTAACTATAGACCTATTTATTGGCTTCTTGCCCGCTTCTTTGAGGACTGCTAGGTGGGCAGTGTGGTACTAATCTAAGGCTTCATGGCCCTCTGTCATATTGCAGTCTCAGGTTGGACACACTCAGGGGAGAACAGTGTTCACCCAAGCATCAGGATCAACCACAGTGGCAAGGAATTTTGACTTTAACCAGGATTGGGCATCATTTAAATATGGTAGCATCCTTTAGTGTTAAACAGAGATAGAAGGAGTTGCTGACAACAGAGCAGGAAGTTGTGCAAGAGATAGAACTGACAGTGGTGGTTCTGTGGCTGGCTGGCCAGCTTGAGGTTAATAAATGTAAGGAGGGGGCAGGTTGGAGTCAAGGTCCTTGGGCAGAACAAGATACAACTTTTCTGGCTGGGGCTGAATATGAGAGCCTCTCAGATGACCTGGGGAATTTGTTTTGATGACTAGGATGGCTTTCTTGTCATGCAGGACACAGGTGCTATTTTAACCCCTTATGGCAATTGAGCTGGTCTTTTATCTCAGGATCTTCCAAGTTGAAGTGAGAACAACTCAAAAGCAGAATAAGGCATCTTTTAAATCTAGAACAGTCTAACAAGGGTATATGGACCAGGAACCACAGAGTGAAAGGTGATGGCTACATTACTGATGGCACGGAGATCTTGCCCATGGTACTTAACAGTCCATCAGGCTGATGTATGGCTAGATGACAGTATATGCTTCCTGTAACACCTGACAGCACCAGGGGTTGTGGTGGTGTGGCGTGGTTCATGGCCGGGCCTGGAGGCAGGTCTTTAGTTTATACCTCTTGGAAGAGAGTTTTCAGAGCTTCAGGGTTGTGGTTATCTGACTCAGGCTAATTCAGTCATCATCTTCCTCTCAGGGCACAATCAAAGTTGAATGTACAGGGTTAAATGAAAGTGAGGCTGACTGGCTTGGTGCAAAGGAGACGTCCTCCCCGGCTGTAAGTTTGTTTCTGACAGAAGGGATGACAGGCAAGAGTCCCAGTTGCCCTGGTGATGATAACTTTTGTTTACCAGGAAAGTTACAGGGCCCCCAAGTTTTGCAATGACCGCAGGCTCTTGGGGACCTATTTTGATAGAGCTTGGTCTGTCTTGTCTGTTCAGGCCTGACAGGGTGCAACTCATTTGTCATGGTTGACAGTCCAATTTTCCTCAATCAAAATGTGAAACTCAGAAGGAACTGCTGACATTCATCTCGGGTGGGCATTAGATGACGCCATCTGACCAGGATAGGCTTATCTCTGAGGGTCTTGTGTGGCTGAATGCAGACAATAAACTTGACCTGGTTCAACTGGCTGGAAATAGATAAATCAGGAGTGGAGAGTGAAGCGGTAGGTGTTGGCAGCAGCTGCAGCAGCCGAAAGAGTGCCCAGGTAGAATTCGCAAGAAGAATGGACCTCTTTTTCCTTTTTTTGAGATTCAGGGAGCAGTTTGGTTTTATTTTTAACTCTGTAAAAGCCCCTTTTCCTGCTGGCAGGGACTGTGGGTTTTAACTAATTATTTTACATTTATCTCCCTGTGGCATATGTTGTATGCTCTTGAACAGCAGCACAACAGACCAGGGTGGGTGCCCCTCAGAGAGACACTATTCAGATGCCCACCTGGCCTCACCCCTTGAGGGGACTGAGGTGTGACTTAGCTAAGGAAGGTGCAAGGCCTCCATTATGCCATAGGTCAGTTGCCACAGAACCACACGTGAGCGCCCAGTGAGCCACTGCAATCAGGGCTTCCCGGTCTTGGTGCACAGGCACGGCAGCCTATTCCTTATGCTGTCCTGCTCACTCACACATTCATTCGGCAGGACTCAGAAGTTAAACACTCCTACCCCCATTTCCTTAAGGTAGCCTTAACTAACAATAGTTGATTAAGCTCTTCTGCTTGAACTGAGCAGGACTGACAGGCTGACTAACTGGGGTGTCCCCAGGGGTCTTACCAAAATCAGGCAGGCAGACAGACAGACAGACAGACAGAAAGATTGCATACTCCTCTCTAGGGGTCTGATGTGAGCCACTTGAGTGGGGAGCCAGCAGTCCTCCTCCAGACCTCCAAGAGACTCAAGAAATTTAGAGAGTGGACTTTCCTGTCTGGCCCTGGAAATGTCTTTTCCCTATCTGTGAGGGCCGTGACTGGTGACCAAAGAGGTTAGCATGGTTGGCCTTCTTGACCAAAGGACCAGATGCAATGGCAAACAGAAACACCTAAACAACACCCAGGATTTGGAGGCAGATTTATTTACACTGATGGGCACTGATCAAAATAATTCCCAGAATATCAACCCCTGATCTCTGGTGGTCTAGTGCTTATGTTGGATAAGCAAACAGGAAGTAAAGAGGCAGAATGGCTTATCAGTGTCTTCTATAATGTGCTTCTAGTGACCAGCTGTGCACCACAGTGACCAGCTATTTCTAGGAGACCAGAAGCAGCAGGAACCGGAACAGGAACTCTTACTCAGGCAGCTGTCATGGTTACTTTTCTCTCATTACTGAGACAAAATATCTGACACCCAGCATTAAGGAAGGAAAGGTTTGTTTAGCTCACAGTTTGTGGAGGTTTCAGTTCATCCTCAGCTGGCTCCAAGGCAGAGTGGCACATGGCAGAGGGCAACCTTTCACATCAGTGGAAAATAGCAAAAGCAGTAAGAGGAAAAATGGAGGAGTGGCTGCAAGCAGCCTCTTTCTCTCCCTTACATATGCAAACTATCTGCCCCAGGGCAGGTGTAGCACTCACACCAATAATCCCAGCATTGGATTATGGATCAAATATCTAGAAGCCCTCCTCATAACTGCAGGAGGATTTGGGGGG